ACCACCCGCCAGGACGGCGCCGGCGGTCATTGCCCGCTTCTGTGGCGTGAACAGAGCAGGGAGAACGATGAGAACCGCCCCCCCCAGGCTCTCTCCGCACAACCCCCCAGTTTCTCAAAGCCCAGTTAACCCAGTATCCCCACTTCCCCTCCTCTGGCTTGGATGACAACATGGGGTCCAGGGCATGGTCTAGAACAGTGGTTCTCAACCTTCCTAATACCGCGACCCTTTAATACAGTTCCTCATGTTGTGGTGACCCCCAACCATAACATTATTTTCGTTCCTACTTCATAACTGTAATTTTACTACTGTTATGAATCGTCATGTAAATATCTGATGTGCGGGATGTATTTTCATTGTTACAAATTGAACATAATGAAAGCATAGTGATTAATCACAAAAACAATATGTAATTATATATGTGTTTTCCGATGGTCTTAGGCGACCCCTGTGAAAGGGTCGTTCGACCCCCAAAGGGGTCGTGACCCACAGGTTGAGAACCGCTGGTCTAGAAGCCACCGCACCTCCCAACCCTTCGCTTCCTGTTCCCTTTTTGTCTGCCCCTCTCCCCTTGTCAGGGCCGCCCGGGAGGGGGGCCGGGTCGGGGGTCAGAAGGGACAGGCCAGAGCCCTCCTTAAATGCCCAGGGAAAGAAGAAACCCCAGTCCGCGGGGAGGGGCCTTTGCCACTCACCGTAAAGTAGGGGCGCGGGCCCAGGGCCAGGTGAGGGGTCACACGCCCTCCCCCAGGTCTCCTCTTCCAGCCGGGCCCAGGGCGGGGGTGTGGGAACAGCTAGCCCGAGCCCTTAATCTGCCTAAGCTGATAAGTGCCCCTTAACCAGGCAGGGAGGGGCTGGAGGAGGATGGGGCTTTGGGGGGCGGGTATCTGGCCTGGGTTCCAGATTCTTTCCCCCAAACCTCCCAACGCCCCGACCACAACCCCAGCATAAAAGAAGCTACAGGTCCCCTTTCAGGCCGCGGCCACTACCCTGCTCAGCCTGAAAAGTGAGGAGATTGTGCCCACGGGCACCTGTGGGCTCTCCGTCCTGGGGTGGGAGTTCTCAGCTCCATTCCCTCCAATCTTCTGTTTCCAGTTTTGCCAGTTAAAGGCCAAGCCCCATCTCTTGGCTGGCAAAGTCCGTACCCCAGAGACCAAACCCAATCCAGCCCACCTGCCTACCTTCTCTTGCCTGCCCACACGGGAGTCTCTGACATCCGCCTCTTGGTGCCTAGAAAGCCATGTGCTTGGCCTTGGGAAGGCAGAAGCCCAGGAGGCAGTGGAGGGAACTCTGGCCTTGAGCAGATCTAGGAGGATTCCTCCTTCCTGACTTTGTGACCTTGGGGACATTGCTTAATCTCTTGGAGGTTTGTGTGGAAGTCACCGGTGACAATGAATATAATTTCCTAGATGACAAAAATAAATCAATTTTAAAGAAGAATGTGATGGGCAACTTGCCCTACTACATATCAAAATGTATACAGAGCTATAGTGATTAAGATACTTTATAGTATTGGTTTAGTGATTAACAAATAGACCAATGGGACAGAATGGAAAGCACTGAAAGCAACAACACAGCAAGCCCTGGCTGGGTGCTCAGTGGTTAGACCATCGGCCTGCAGATCAAGGGGTCTCGGGTTCAATTCCCAGTCAAGGGCATGTGCCCTGGAGGCAACCAATTGTTGTGTCTCTCTCACATAAATGTTTCTCTCTCTTCCCCCTCCTCCTTTCTCCCTCCTACTCTCTCTAGAAATCAGTAGGAAAAATGTTCTCAGGTGAGGATTTAAAAAAAAAAATGTTGCCCTGACCGGTTTGGCTCAATGGATAGAGCATCGGCCTGCGGACTGAAAGGTCCCGGGTTCGATTCCAGCCAAGGGCATGTACCTTGCTTGCGGGCACATCCCCAGTAGGAGGTGTGCAAGAGGCAGCTGATGGATGTTTCTCTCTCATCGATGTTTCTAACTCTCTATCCCTCTCTCTTCCTCTCTGTAAAAAATCAATAAAATATATTAAAAATAAATAAATGAAAAATTTAAAAACATGCAGCAAAAAATGGAAATTTGATATATGAAGAAATGGATATTTCTTACCAGTGTGGAAAGATTAAGCTATCCCATAAATGAGGCGTGTTCCTGTTGATTAATTAGCCAGAGGGGAGGAAGAGGGAGATATAGGATTAGATCTCCATCTCACACCATACAAAATCAATTTCAGGTTAAAAAACATACATAAAAACAAGCAAGGCTTGGTGGTTGAGCATGGACCTATGAACCAGGAGGTCATGGTTTGATTCCCAGTCAGGACACATGCCCGGGTTTCGGGCTCCATCCCCAATGTGGCATGCAGGGGCAGCCAATCAATTCTCTCTCATCATTGATATTTCTCTCTCTTTCCCTTCCTCTCTGAAATCCATTTTAAAAAATGAAAAAAAAATTTTTTTTAAAGAGTGTTAAGACCTCAGGGGATCCTCTGTATGTTTGAAATATTTTATAATTAAAAAAAATGTTTTGCCCTAGCCAGTTTGCCTCAGTGGATAGAGTGTTGGCCTGCGGACTGAAGGGTCCTGGATTCGATTCCGGTCAAGGGGATATGCTCAGGTTGCAGTCTCGATCCCCAGTAGGAGGTGTGCAAGAGGCAGCCGATCAATGATTTTCTCTCATCATTGGTGTTTCTATCTCTCTTTCTCCCTCTCCCTTTTTCTCTAAAGTCAATAAAAATATATTTTAAAAAATATTTTAATTTTGGGAAAGACAAAATCACATAATCTCACTCATATATGGAATCTAATGAACAAAATAAACTGATGAACAAAATATATCTAGAGACATAGAAACATGGAACAGACTGTGGAATCTCAGAGGGAAGGGGGGTGAGTGGGTGGGTGGGAAGAGATCAGACAAAGAACTTGTATGCACAGATGCATAACCCGCGGACACAGACAATAGGGTGGTGAAGGCCTGGGGGGTGTACAGGAGGCTGACTAGAAGGGGTCATTGGAGGAAAAAAGGGGACATATATAATACTTTTAATAGTAAAGATTTAATTTTCAAAATGTTTTAATTTTTAAATAAAAAATTTTAATTTTTGACCTGTAGTAAAGTCTCAAAATTGATTAGGTATCAATGTTCATTGATATAGTCCTGGGCATCCTACTTGAAGGGTTATTTCCCTTAAATCTCTCCTCTACTGTCACAACTTGGAATTGTGGGTGCTCCACCCAACCCTTCCATTTCACAGATGATGAGACTGAGGCCCAGAGACTGACTGGGCTTAATCCATAATCTCCTGATTGTCCTCTAGGGTTCATGAAAGGACAGGTAATGTTGATAGGGATGAGGAGCAGGATTTTTTACACTTTGTTTTTATAGTAAAACATGTATAATATAAAATTTATCATTTTAGGCATTTTATAAGTGTACAATTCAATGGTATTAAAAATATTCATATGGTTTTGCCACATCACCACTACCCATCTCTAAAACCTTTTCATCATCGCAAACCGAAACTCCATACCCAGTAAACAGTAATTTCTCATTTCTCCCTCCCCCAGCCCCTGGCACCTACCATTGTACTGTCTCTATGAACTTGACTACTCTAGGTACCTCACATAAGTGGGATCATACAGTATGTCTTGCTTATTTCACTTAGCATAATGTCCGCAACGTTCATCTATGTTGTAGTGTGTGTCAGAATTTCCTTTCTTTTTAAGGCTGAATTGTATGTCTGTACCACATTTTGTTAATCCATTCATCTGTCCATAGACACCTGAGTTAGTTCCACCTTTTGCCTATTGTGAATAATTTTGCTATGAACATGGGTTGCAAACATCTGTTTGAGTCCCTACTTTAAATTTTTTTGGGTATATACCTAGCAGTGGAATTGCTGAATCATATAAAAGTTCTAATTTTAATTTTTTGAGGACTCTGCCATACTGTTTTTCCACTGCGGCCAAACCATTTTATATTCTAGGGGTGGAATATTTTAAATCCATCCTGGTCCCCATGCCAAGGCTGCACAGCCAGCCACCAGGCGGCCCAGCCCTCCCAGTGACTCAGTTAGGAGCTTGTTTGTGTTTGTTTGTTGCTAAAAATGTGCTGAAGCAAAACAACCCTCTTACAGAAAAGGCGGGGCCAGCCCTTACAGGAGCAGTCGCTGGGAGTTACCAGAGGTCAGGTTTATATTTAAAGTCCTATAAATAACCCAGCTGCAGGTAGAGCTCCGCCCGCAGGAAGGCCCTAAGGTCCTCGTTTCTGTTTCTTTAGAGGGAAAGGGAAATGTCTTTCTTCTGAGATTGTTCGTCCCTCCTCCACCCTCCATAAAGTCATGAACTGTGGAGTCGACAGAAGGAATTAGAAGTTTCTGTTTGTGGAATCACTGCAAAAAAAAAAAAAAAA